TGAGAACTCAAGCTGCGGCTTTACACAAGGCTCTCGCAAGTTCTGGAAAAAAAAAGAAAAGAAAAAAAAAAGCATGAGGCGGTGTAACGATCCAAGCAGCAGGAATCGACTGAGGAATGCGTTTATTGTTGCACAGCATAGGCGTCAATTGGACCTCTTGCATTAACCATAGACCTCTGTTATTCTAACTCATGGATCTGCTGAGATTTGTATACATGAGAGAATAGTCTGGCAAAAATCACACAGTTGCTTATTGAAGTTTATGAAGGAACATACATACGCAAAAACAGCAAAAATGTGCAAACATGACTTTTTCTTTTTCTTTTTTTATTTGCAGAGTCCTGAACTGTCACAGCCAGACTTGTTGGGCTCCATCAGCGCTGAACTCGGTGCGATTGCTCCTAACCCTTTTGACACTGACAGTCGTCTCAAGCAGAGAATTGCCTGACCTATTGGAGTGAGACAAAGACGCTCGTCAGCTGGATGCCTAAAATGGCTCTGCAGATATGGATGTTGTTTGAGGCTGCTGTGCAGCAGTGTGTGCGGTGTGTGTGGTCCCGTAAATCCAGTCGCGATGACGCATTCGACTGCAGGCCACCGGTCAACAGATAAGTGTGTGAAATTGCAGCCAGTAAATTTCCGAGAGGACAATGACGAGTTCCTATTCAATAAATCTGAATATAATTGAAAAGTTTTGTTCAGTAGCTCACTTCACCAAGTGGAGCAAGTTATATTTATTAATTGCACGCACACGGAAGGTTTCTACTCTTTGTTTCTGTTAATTAGGATGATATTCAGAAAACATGACTTCATCAATAGAAAATCGCAGCAGAGCAGAAAAAAACAAGGATTTTTAATTCAGAAATATGAGTGTAATGGAAAGTATGTATAATATCTACCTAAAGGTTGCTATTTTTGGAAGGTGAAAACCAAGCGTCATCAAAACCCAAGTCATACTGCCCGCATTGTTAAAAATGTTATTAGATTCATGGGACTTCACATGCTCTTTAATTGTGTTTCCTGTTCCCCTTTTCCAATGACACTCAAACACGTTAAAAGAATGTTATCTGCCATATATTTACTGTTTCCAATAGTTTGGTGCTGGGGTAAAACGGGAATACGATCACACCATACTTAGCATTGAAAAAAAGCACAAACAGAATAAAAACGAGGTAAAGAGATAGAAGAAGAAGAACTGGGGCATTTTCACTTGACTTGATGGTGAAACAACTGCAGTGCCTAACTTGTTCTTTCCTTTGCACTGTAGCAAATAATTTGCTCTTCACTCGTTACATAAAATGTAACAAAGGACAAAATGTGTCTCATTTATTCGTATAAGAGTGTTTATATGTGAAGCCATACATGGCAATATAAGAAGAAATCTGAAAGGTTCACAACAAAATAGTGAAACTAATACATTTTCTGTAAGGTTTAGCTTTATGATAGTTGTATTAACAATGAAACTTGTTGATATTGTTCTTTTCAGAAAGAAAAGTTACAAAGTGTTTGGTATGATAAAATTATAAAAGACTAGAGAAGTGGAAAAAAAATAGAAAACATAATGTACAAAACTAGCGAGATAATGAGTTTGTAATAAAACCCACTTTAATACAGAAATGAAGTGGATAGTTTGAAAAGTGAATTAATCAAACAGTTGAAATGAGGACGCAAAGCAAATGTCTGCTGTCGACATGCTGATGCCCTCTGTGCAGAAGAGTTTCTGCAAGAGTAAACCTCCTCCAGTTCAAGACGACTGCAAGCTGCATAAAGTGAAACCAGACTAAAATCCTTTTGGCTTTCATCACATGCGACTGTGAGGCTGCAGCAGGGCCCCAGTCAGCTTCCAGAGATCCTCAGACAGTCACGTTTCTGAATATCTGCACATTCATTTACACTCTTGGATAACCTAGGACGGGACAAAGTAAAAAATGATCACGTTACGCATGTGTGGGGTTTGTGTGTGTATTTGGGTGTGTATTAGATGGGGTCAGGTGAATGGAGCGACAGGAAGGGGACGTGGCAGGACGGAGAAGTTTGATGACAATGTTTGTGTGCAAGAGACGACTCCTGCTTACATCTTGAGGCTGAACTGTGACAAATCAAGTATGTTCCAACAAGGACAAAACAGGAGGGGGAGGAGGCCTCCTGCCAAGATTATCTGGATACATTTCAGCTTTGACAAGTAAGATAATTAAATCCTTATCTGTGCTTAGGATTTAAATCCTTATGAGCAGTAAGATCTGTGGTTTAATTGTCTAATTCAACTCTGGAAAGCATGAAAATATGGATTTGGATAGACAATCTAAAATCAGATAGATCAGCTACTTCCATCTCTTCAAGATTGTTTTATATATAAAAAAAAGACATATACAACATATATATATGTGTTGATATATAAATAATCTCAAATCTTTACAGTATCCACCATAGGACAATCCAAAAGATCCTCCTTTTGGTGGAACACTTTTGCCATTAAGAACGATGGTGGTTCTGAAGTCAGAATCGGTTCCTAGCCTGTGCTAACAAGGCAGACAGTATGTGACACTCATATTAACATGAGCCAGGAACTGAAGAAAATGCATCTAGATGTTGCCAATCGCTAGTGAAGGTTTGCTTGGATAAATGAAGGTGCAAATATTACATTTTCTTCTTGAAGACATTGAAGTTGATAAATCCTGCGATAATGTTTTAGAAACTGCTTCTGGATGAATAGTAAATAGTGAAATAAATGTAATCTAGTTGTAGTGTTTGATTTACATTTATACATTTAACTAGGTCATGATTATTAATATGTAATTGTGATATTGCTAAATGTGCATAAAATAGCTTTTGCAAAGATAGACACACTCTTATATTCTGAAGCAAAGCTCCAAAATCCACCAGAAAGTGACTCAATTCGATGAAATGCGAAATTCCAGACATGGTTTAGGGTCTATTTTGGATTAAAACCTCCAACTGAAGACTTCTATTGAAGTCTGACAGGTTATGGAAAAAATACGCTTCAGAGAAAGTGTTTTGTCCCAAATTGTTCATGAAATGATTTTAAGTTATGTTATTTTTTATTTTGTTAACCTCCCAGAACCAGTCTCTTTTTGATAACTCCTTCCAGGATTTAGTGTTATCGAAAAGAGAGATAGAGAGAAAAAAAAGAGTATGTTTTTTATATAATGCTATGCAATCAGTGTTCTTTGGTTAAATTTTCTTTTCTTCTGCACATTTTATGGTCTTTGCAGAACTATTAGCAGGTGGAAACAGTAGGAACATGCAGTATATGCCAGGCTTAAACACAAAAAACAACTGTCTCTATGGAAACCGAAGGCTGCTGTTGCTGTAAAACTTTTACAGAAAAGCCTGTTATGATGATAATAGTAGCAATAATGGTCCTCAGTTAATGATGTCATTTAAAGATTCTGCACAACGCCCAGAGTAAGAACGTCTTGTTTGTGAAATTGAAGGAGAAATAATCCTCCAATCTTCCTGTGAGAAGGTAACAGGGACTATAATCAGTCATCATTACATCATGGTGGATCACAGTATGTTTTGATCTACTCCCAGTTCTTTAAGATGATGTCAATGTTTGCATCTACACATTTCCTATCTGGACCTGCGGTGGTTCTGCATGGGATTTGTGTGTTCTCTCTGCCCAGATGTGAGCTCTTCGAGAAACCAAAGCATAGCTATTAGGTTCATTGATCTCAAGTGTTTTGTGTCTTGCCTTGTGACAAACTGGCAATCTGTCCACAATGTACCCATCCAATAACTCCGATGGACAGACTATTCTCCATATTTCATTTCATTTTCTCATATTTTTTAATCTTCCTGCCGATTTAAAATCCTACATTTTGTACTCTTGCCTTTTCACACAATTTGTCCTGGAACAGTTTGGGTTGTGTGAGATTATCTGGCCTTGTTTTCCTCTGACCTTCATGTAAATAAGACTCCACATTTCCTCAGGCAATTATTTGAAAGTAACGCTGGGAATACTTTAAAAGGAAGAACGATTCGGTGCTTGTCTTGGCTCTCTTGGAGTTGTTTTGAATTTGCGGTTAACTCTGAGGCCTTGCAACACAATTCAGCATGGAGACTGTGTGTGTGAACATTTCTGTCCTTGGGCTCAGTAGCATCACCGTCATTAACAGGGTCTTTGTTTGCCTCTTAATCTTGCACCATTGTTTTCCACTGTCTCACTGCAAAGCAAGCGCTAGTGCAGTTACTATCTCGCTGTTGTAACATCCTGCGTTATTATGTGGAGGCTCCAAAGAGAGCAATAAGGCTGCAACAACTACTGCTGATGAAGCTTTTTTTTTTTATCTACATCACTCTAAGATGGTCAAATGGCCAAGATTCTAAATAATTTTGGCCCTTCAATGAAATGCATCTAGCGATATCATTGGACTATTTGTATTTCGTCCTAGAATTTGCTAAAAGTAGAAAGTCATGTAACTGAATTTCACAGGCTGCAAACGGCGGGTTCCTCAAATTAAGTGTGCTAGTCCAATGCTGCCCTCTAGAGGAACTTTTACTTTAAAAATCTACTGGACAATCTGTCTTCCAATCTTACACCCATACACTATAAGCAGAATTTTACAAAACTTTTAAACCAGAACTGTAAATACATTGTGGAAAGAAAAGTCTTTCTTTTCCATTTAATTAAATTAAATATCAAAAAGGGGAAAAAAAATGGTAGTGTATCTTTTTTTGCAGTATGTGTACATATACATGGATTCATACATATTAAGAATCAACTAGGTACACTTTAATATACAATCAGTGCTGCTCTAATGTAGTATTCAGATTATTATTATTTTTTAATCAGTTTTACAGGATAGGGTTACATTTTTGAAAAAAATGACAACATAAAACATTTCCGTTTCTGATTTTGGGCAGTTTTTGCCTAAATTTATACAGGATCTCATGGTAACGTGTTATGTTTCTTTGATCCTACGAGTTAACGATGTCCTCACGCTATTTAAAAGTGCGTAAAATGAACACTCGGCAAACAAAATAAGACTTTTTTTAATGTGTACATTATACTGCAATGTAGAAAACAAGTTCCATTTACAGTGCGCTGTAGTAATTACATCAGGGAAACAGGCTATGCGTTGATTGATTTACAGTATAGACATCACATACGAAAAATAAAGATAGCCAATCGGCTGGAACGTTTTGATCGGTTTTCTAGCTGTAAACCCTGCGGCCAGAGAACGGGAAGAGTCCCTGGAATGCTATGTGTCACCATCTGTGTTCTCACTGCGTGCATCACAAAATTTATATTCCTCCGTGTGTCTCCAAGCATCATCCTCACTTGCAGCTTTACCATTGTTCATGGTAGCAGTACCCTTCCATCCAGCGTCACAGTCTGTCTGAGTCGGATTGCTGAGAGCATCCGGTTCTTTACTCGGCGTGCTTTGCTCATCTGGAATATCTGAATCCGTGTCTCTGGCATCTGTGTCTCTGGTGAGGTCACCTGTGGGTTTTGCAGGTATTTGACTCTGCATGCTGCGGTCAGAATCAAATTCTGAATCCTTCCCTTCAGCCGGATTCTGATAAGTGTCAGAGGTGCTGCTGGAGTCTGAAATGTGCTCCTTCGCCGTGTCAAAGGATCCAGTTATGATGCTGTCACTATATGACTGACTCGCAATGGTGTCTGTCTCAGAGCCTGAAACATCTAAATAGCGACTATCTGTGTCACCAGGGCAGTGACTGTGATCCTTCTGACCATAACCTCCCTCAAGATTCATGTCCGTCAATATTTCCCCAGAGTCAATCTTGACCAAATGAGCTCTTGCCGCTGTGCTATCAACAAACCTTTCGTCTCCAGGAACAGAATCAAAGGTAGAGTCCGTGTCATTCGCACTTCTTCTGTATCCAGTATAAACATTTGATAAGTTCTCCCTTTTTAGGTTGGAATCACTGTCTGGGAAGCTTTCAACACCGGCCAGGACTCTCTTCAAACTCTGAGCTCTGTCGATGTACATCTGGCACAACTGAGCGTCAGGCATGTGGCTTCCATGGATCTCCGCCAGCTTCATGTACACAACATACAGAGCTTCAGGATTAGCTTTGTCCTCAAGAGCGGCCGCCAGTGCTAAATAGAAGTACCCCGCTGCATCAAAGGCATCCTGCAAAGGTGCAGAAAGAAAAGGTCAATTAACATAATTTAACCTACACACAGTGCTTCAGTTTTATAACTTCAATGTATCTTATTGGAACTGTATGTGATGTGATCAACATAAACTAAAGAAAACAGAAAAAGAAAGCCGCCTCAACAAAAATTTCCCTGACTAATATATTATATATATATCCTGCTGACATTAGATGTGAACACTATTAATCTGACCTTTTTGGAAAAGTGGCAAAAATTAAGTCACTGTTTAAATAGCAATAGAAATAGCAATAGAAATCAATAGAAAAAGGGAATGTGAAAGAAGCTGCTGTTATCAAATGAGATCAAAACTGATGTTGCCTTTTAGTCCAAACATAAAAAACTAGCTGTGCAGATCTACTAAAGACATCTTGGAAGTGAAATTTTTAATTTCCAATTTGGCCCACTAGGTGTCACTAAATTCCAACACGGGGAATTGAATGAGAATATAACCAGTTTCACTGTTTGACGCTGTCACTGCGACTTCAGTACCTTCAATTCATATAATGTGATGTTTCCTAGCCGGCAGTAGACTTTAGTGTAGTAGCACGCTTCTGTGGGATGCTGCAGAGCAGGCGGACACAGGGAAAGGGACTTCAAGTAATTGTATTCTGCCATCTCGTACTGCTGAAGATTGAAGTAAATTGTGGCCAATCGATGATATGCAGTCCTCTCATTTTCACGAACTCCTGCACAAGAAAAAAAAAATAATTGTGGGGTTGAATCTCTATCTGTACTACATGGAGCCGCAGCGAGGCAAAAAAAAGCAACGCTTACCTGTTTGGTTAGCTATTTGAACAGCCAGTGTTGCATACTGCAGCGCTTCCTCCTGCTCTCCTTGATTCATTAGTAGCTCTGTTAATTTACTTAACAAGCGGAACTCAGAATGGACGTCTTTGATGCTCCGTGCAAATGGTAGACTGCCATCCTGAGGGCCAAAACGATTTGTTTTGTTAAAAACAGCGTGGAGAGAGGAAAAAGAAGAGAATGACCGTTCTTACCGCAGGTATCGTAGAAATTGCTTGCTCATAATAACGCTGCCTTGAGACAAACAAAGCTTAATATCTCTACTTACTCTGTAGAAAATCTCTGAAGCCATTCGGTTCCTGTGGCCTTTGAAGTAAACATCTCCCGCCTCCTCGTAGATGCTCAAAGCAAAGTGAGGGTCGTTCATCCTCAAGGCTGTCTTCACTGCTGCCTGTCAAATACTTTTGTTATTCCTCGATTTGAGTTGTAAATGTGTGATTGGAGCATTTGCTACATTTTAATGAAATTAGAAAGAAAAGAAGAATCCAAAGTGACTATGAAATACGCAAAAGACTATGAGAACTTGCACATATGCACCACTTTCAGTCAGGGCAAAGATCGCTTAGGAATGTTGAGTGTCCACATTCACTGTATGCCAGACTATGACAGAACAAAGGGCTGAACCAGGAAAAACAAGTAACTGGAAAAACAGTCCATACTTTAATGCTTAATTTCCTCCCTACCTGCAGGTACATGTCAGCCAGCTCGTCCTCCTGAATGAGGTAATAGATTCGTCCCACCTGCAGCCAGGTCTCTGACTCTTCCTCTCTCTTGCCCAGATCGATAGAAATCCTCAGACTCTGCTTGGTGTAATCAAGAGACTTACGAGACGATCTGAAAAATTTCCAAAAACAAAGGAAAAAAAAAAACAGAATAAAACCTACAAGCTTGAAGAAAGAGAAGCCACTTGGTGCAAAAGACACAAGAGGAAATTACTTCTCTGTGTTGAGTGAGAGGTAGAGGCTGCTGAGTTTTTCCAGATACTCTCCTTCCCGTCTCTTGTCCTTTAGCTCTCTGGACACTGAGACACAATGCTCATAGTAAGCAATGCTCTGACAGTAGAGCAGCATTTCGGCGTACAGCACACTCAGAAGCTTGGCTACCACCATCTGGCCTGCAATAAATACAAAACAATTGGGATATTAGCAAAACCATACAGCAGGGAAAATATACATTGACCACGTAGATTTTCTCAGTAAGCATATTTTTAATTGTGCTACTGGCAATGTTTATTTATCTTAATGTATTTCAAACACACATGTGATTTGCAATATTTTCTAACTGTCATACAATATAAAGATTTATTCAGTTCATATTGTAATCAACATCCCAGAAAGCTGCTAATCACAAAACCCCTCGCATCCCACAATATCTTTACACAGTGGTTGTGCTGATGCTTACTGTGCAAATTTCTGGCATGCAGCGCAATTAGCAGCCCCATTTCATAGCATGCCCTGATGTCCTGACTCTTCCCTCTGTCCTTGTAGCTCTGCCCAAGCCAAAGATACACCTGAACGTGTTCCTCATCGGTTGGACTCTCCCAGAGATCCAGGAAAAGGCACAGAGACCTAGAATGGGGAAAAAGCATGGCAAGCAAAACAATTTATTTGTTCCTGTATTTGTGCGGTAATCAAGGCGTGATCTACATTTTAACCCTTGGCTTCTGATCCATCCACCCTCCAGTCAAACCTCACCACTGCGTGACCCTGGAGAGTTGAAACACTGACCTAACCAGAAAGCGCTCCGCAAGGAGGTTCGCCCCAGCATCCAGCGCCAGGCAGCCCAGGTTAGCCAGTGCCAGCGCCTGATTCCTTTGGTTGCCACTCTCTCTGGAGATTTCCAAGGCAGAGTGAAGATGCCAACCTGCCTCGCGGACCCGACCCTGATGCCTCAGACACAATGCTAAAAGGTTATGGATGACTCCTTGCTGAGTGGGACTGTCCGTGCTCTGTTTCCACAAAAAGAAGCAAATCAGACATTGCTTTGGGAAAATAAATACTTTTTTTACCTTCTCCGTTTCTTATTGTTGACTGGATTCCTCACCTCTAGTGATGTGAGCAGTGGCTCTAAAATACTCTGAGCCCTCTCAGCCTGACCCGTCAACACCAGCAGCCAACCAAGTAGCACTGAAGCCTCAAAGCCATCCTCCTCATTGATGTGGCTCCCTGTCTCCACAGCTTGTTGAGCGCAGCGTACTGCTTTATCCAGCGCACCGTACTGCTGGTAGGTCAAAGCCAAAGCCAAACAAAGGTCCCGCTGCATCTTTATGTCATCACCCTGCTCAGCTACGGCAAGAGCCTGCTGCAGGTAAACCACTATCTGAGCGGGGAGTAGTGAGGTTCCTTCCTTCCAGCACGGATTCAGACGGACAGAGTTCCTGATAAACAACTCGATCCTCTGGAAAGCATCGCAAAGTGAATGGTCTTCTCTTGAGTCCAGGCTGAGGGAGGCCAATGCTAAATAAGGCATGTATTTACGATGATAGAGCCAGCTCAAGAGCCAGTTGAGGTCCAAAGGTTCGATAGGTCCGCCTTCGGTGGCCGACAGTGTGGCTGAAAGAAACTGAAGTCGCTCAAAGAAAGGTAGCGTGTCTTCTGTCTTCTTAAGAACCAAGTAGAGGCTAGAGATGAGGTAGCAGACGCGAGCCTCCAAATGTTTGTCCCCCAACACGACGGATCTTCTCAGGAGGAGCTTCAGCAGTTCAACTTCATCCGAGGACATGAAAGCATGGCAGGGAAGACAGAGTATTAAGGCACTGGCCTTCTCCAGGATCTGGGGCAGTTTATCAGTCATACGCTGCTTCAGGTAGATGGCAGTGAGGTTTGTGAAGAGAGCCACGAGGAGCGGCACGTCAGAGAAGCTGTTGACACTGACACTCAGAGCTTCCTCGTAGTATACTCGTGCCTGAGGAGAAAACAGCCATGATAAGTGTTTACTGTAATAAATTGTCCAAGACTATTGCTACAGTGCCTTGCAAAGTACTCATGCTTCTTAAACCTTTCATTGTGGATACAATGTTTCCACACTGAATCCACAAAGTTTAAAGATTGGGATTTGCCATTTCGTCTCCTGAGTTAATCTAAGAAGAGGAAACAAATATTTGTGGAATGTCTCTAAAAGCTTTAGAAACAGGTAAACTGAAGATTTTGCCCTTTTCTTTTTTGAAGAATAGTTCAAGGTCTGTCAGACTGGATGAATATATTTAGCTTCATTCGTCTTACTATCAGCTCTTAACATCAATATTGACCATGTTGAAGGCATATCAGTTTGTCCAAACTGAGGACAAAAAAAAGAAAAATCTAATTCCATTTCGATTGAAACCTATTTGTCAACAGAATAAAAAACATTCTCAATTCAGACTTTCACTAATGAAAAAACGCAACGTTTCTGGTTGTTACTTAACAAAACGTTAAAAGGTTCCAAGCGTATCAACACTTTTGTAAGGCACGCTCAGTGTAGTATAAGACAGAGTTACTGGAGCATTGTGTCTTTTTATTTTGGAAAAAAATATGATCATTCTTGTTTGCTTGATGTTCCGGGTACCTGGGAGAACTTTAGCTTTCTGGCACAAAGTCTGCCAAGGACAAAGCACGCACGCCGATGTGCCCAGTGCATGCCCAGTCTCTTGGCGCACTCCCTGACACTCTCAAGATGTCCGGACAGTTCGTCCTCAGTCTTCTCACCGAAAGTCATCCACAGGAAGGAACAGTGTAGGTCGTACAAGGGCAGAAATTCATCCTGGAAGACACACAAGGAAAAGGGCATGAAACTAACTATTTTTTCATTTTCTACTGTCTCATAAAGATATGCTGTTTCTACTGTCTCATAAACATTTCATGAGTTGTGCAACTCATGAAATGTCATTCAAAATGTTCTTTAAGAACTCCTAGCAGTGTAACAAGACATTGTTTGTTCTGTATAAATCTCAGTATTTGGGCCCAAATGTAGTGTCATCCACATTCTTGCTAATGTGTTGTGTAACAACACACTTTAAGAAAGCCTTTAAGGCAATTCAGGAAGCTGAGCTCATGAGTTTGTGGATAAGTACACTAATGGTCTGTCTAGTCTGTATATCATCATCATTCAGAGCTTTTGTTCTAGAGATTTGTATATGACTGTACTTGCGCAAGCCAAACCCGTCTGTGTTTCTAACCAGGTTGAAGACGCAATGAATGAACAGTGACTTAAGCTCACGTGGAAGTGTTCGTGGTTTAACAGAGTCAGTGTCGGGTCACTGAGCTCCGGCTTCTCGCCCTCCCAGCTGTTCTCTTCCATGAAGAGAGGGGGATCCTCCTGGAACTCATCGAGCTCTTTAAATGTGTCCTCCAGATTGAAAGAGAGCCGCTCTCCCTCTCGTGGCAGAGGGTTGAGGGAATGATAGAGGGACACGCGCGGCGAGGCGACAGAGACGGAGGCGCGGGGGGAGGATTGGTTCTGCGTTGTCCCTTCGCTTCTTTCGGACATAAGGCTCTGACGGGCGCTGGAAAAACCCTTAAAATCTGCGAAGAAGTAAGACGAGTGCATCAGCTGCTAAAAACAGTTTGTATTGCATATTATAATTGCTTTATAATATTACCGTGCTTTGGCCGATTCCGTATGTACATGAAGTCGGCCTCGTCCAGCCTGTCTGGAAATACATAAGGTAAATCAGCTTAAGCTTTCTCTTGCCAGGTGAAGAAATAAAAATGGAGAAAAAACAAACACTGAAACAACAACAACTGTTGTGGAAACATGCTCAAACCATGCATCAAACAAAATAGGAGTAAAATATCCCAAAAATGTGCTGTGGCACAACTATCTTTGGGTTCTATCAGAAATAAAAATAGTAAAATCCCTTAACTGATCCAGTGGTTCCTTTACCTAGTCTGTACACAGAGCTGATGTCTGATGAGAAGAGTCTTTCCAGAAGGCAGCTTTCGCTTGGCTCTGAGCTATACGGGTTAACCTGAGCCAGGCTGGCCTTCTCCTCCTCTGTGAGAAAGACCAATTGTCTGTCTCTGTGAGAAGCAAACAAAGGAGGCATTATGACTGCATGCATCTTCCCAGCATCATCACCCACTCTATGACTGACAAGCCAGCATACCCACTGTAAAGCCTTTAAAATGTATGTCTGCACACCCTGTGAGCCTCATGGTGACCACAAACTATTATTCATTGTGTTGGTGGTCTGGTCACAAAAACACTGCAAGCCACACAGACATCTACAACCCAGCATGGTTAACAGCGATACCGTAAGCAGGGACAAACGAGCTGGTGAGACTAGATGGAGAGCCGAAGCTAAATCAGTGGGCACCGGTGGAAGAAAACCTTGAGACTGGTTGCAAAACATGTGAGGCTGGTGAAGAGGCTCACTTTCCAAAATTACAATGATCGTAAAACAATGGCCAAAGCGACAATGGGATGGTTCATCTTAGTCAGACTGAAAGGAGAGCATCTCATCTTTGAGCAGATATTTTTGAATTTGCAGAAGATTCTTAATTAAGATTTTTATCTAGACTTTGATTGGGATGTTTAATAGAATATTTATTTTTTACTATGGGCAAAAATCAGGTCCTAATACACAAGCTGGGGAGAAATATACCCCCAAAGACTTGCACACGTTTTTGCATCAAAGCATGATTGCACAAAGTATTTGTTCTATAGTTATAACAAATATGCTGGATGCAAACAAGACCCACTGTCTGACTTTCAATTTGAAACAAAATTTTAAAACCATGTATTCTTATTGTTTCACAGATGTGTGCAACCTTTGTGTTAATATGTCACATGAAATATCTATAAAGCATGCAAACACAAACAAAATGCAAAATTTTAAGCTGTATGAATCTTGCAATGCCTTCTACAAATGATTAAATAACAAAACACAAACCGTATAAATGCCACATCTCATCTCATAATAACAATGAGATAAACAGTGTGAAAAGATCTTATGACATCAAAATGTAATTTCTTACAGGGGTTTGGTGTTCAGAGGCTTGACGTGGGCCCTGTGAACAAATCCAGTGCGTCCTGTGGATGTGTGTCTTCCTATGAAGATGGAAAGTCCCCGCATCAGCAGACCCTGGATCTCCACCGTGTCCCCTTGACTCAGCTGGAGCTCGTCTGGCCCAGCTGGACTGTAGTCAACGATGGCTTCACACGAACCGGTCACTGAGGGATCAGATGAGAAGGGCAAGGGGGAAAAACAGGTGAGGTTGCTGGAGCTTGCATAAACATTCGGAATATGAATCTAAATCGAATGGTCAATTCATGCAGGTTAACATTGAATATCGGAGCAATCATAGAATACGCAGAAAAGCTTTACCGATTGCACTTTCAAACAGTTCCTTTTCTACTGGTGAGTATCCAGCTTGGCCCGGATACTTCCTGAGGAACCACCTGGCCAAACAGGAAGTAAAAAATATTGAAGTCAAGCCAACTCCTGCACGAATGTTCCTACTTCTTGTTGGTCTTTAACTAAAGTTTAATAAAGAGCATGTTATATTGAGATGCTGTAAAGTGTGTCATTTATTAACCCATGACCGAGATGGCTTATCCGTGGAACTTACTGGTAGAAGGGGTAGGGCAGTGGCTGCATGGCGTGGACTGGCACCTGGCCGTGGCTCCCGGTGGCGAGCATAGTGCCCTCCCAAATGTCGTCCTTCCCCGTATCCCTCACTATCAGCAGGTCATTCTTTTTAAATGCCAGCTGCTCCTCACTGTCTTCATCCTCCTCACTTCTGGTGAACAGCGCCTTGGCGAAAAAAGATCCTGCAAAGGAGAGAAGAGAGCTTGTGCAAACGTGCGAAGCATAGGTCTGCGTGGATCCAGATGTTGATGTTTTCAGTGATCTCGGTTTGGATAAAAATCATTGTGGTTATGAATTAGCTTTTCTGTAACAGCAACTCTGCCCTCATTCAGTCACAAATGATGGATGGTGTATATACCCTCCTATTAAGCTAATGTAATTTTTATCGCTATTTGCCAGCACTGCAGTATTTTCATACGATCTGTGTAGCTTTTGGTCTGGAGAACAGGAATATCTTCTCAGTGAACAGATCTCCATGTACATGGATATAAGTTTGTATAAATGTAAAAAAAAAAAAAAAAAATGAAACAAAAAAAGAATATTCTGAGTCTGGAAGGACATTAAAACACAAAAAGTCAGCTACCAAGGAAAGTAACACACCAATGAGACACAAAAAAGTAGCATAATTATGTATCGGCTTACACTGGCTAATGGATAATTTTGACTGTTTACTTCAAAAGCTACATTTTTGGATCAGAAAAGAAATCCACACTTCCAGAGAAAGTTTTCACAATTCAAAGCCTGAAAAGCAGCACACAGGAATGTCCCAGTAGAGTCTAGCACTAGGATCATTCGGGCTCTGATAATCATAACACAGTTTCACCTCTAAAGAATATTTCATTTTCAAGACTGTGTGAATACTAAAAATGTCACTAAGAGAGAGATTGGGTCAAATTAGTCAGTCTCTATTAAGATCAAAGTTTTCAAGCACCACCATTGCTGACATTTTAAATGAGTAGTACACCAAATGTTGGAGTTTTTCAGTTTGTGTTATTTCCAAAAGAATAAAAATAAGAAAAAAATCACCCTTTTAAAATTCTATGTTTGAAGTTTGATGAATAAGGACGCATTAAGCAAGTACTTTAAGTCTAAAATCTGAAGGTTTCTTACCAACCACACTTTTAATGTCCAACATGGCTCCCTTTATGAATTTATGATTCATTTGCTGAATCATATCTCATCAAACCTTTTACCCACATGTGACTACAGACAATATGTCACTTAGCTTGTTCCTAAGACATTTTGATAAGACACAGATAAACACATTGCTATTAGTTTATATTGTTGACAGTAGTTAACTCCCTGAGGAAATCCTACAAGTTTTCAAGCTTGAAACAGAAACGTGATCGTTTTTAATTTCAATCACCAAATCCAAGTTCTGACTCAGGAGGTAAAACAATTTCAACACCTGCATTCACAGACAACTGTGGTTTCCAAAAATTATTTTGAAGACCACAAAAGGCAGACCAAGTGCCACTATTGGCATTTTCAACACCGTTTGAGAGTCAGTGACTTCAGTTTGGCAATCATGTTAATGTTGTTTTATTATGTCTTCACTTTTACCTTTTCTACTGACATTTTGATTTCTATTGACATTTTGGTTTCATGTTATTGGCAGTCTTTTCATCCATTCAATACAGACCTCTCACCCCCCCAAAAAAGAAAGAAAGAAATCAGCACTGCTCACCTTCTTGAAGCAGAAGCCCCAGGTAGAGGGTGGCGAGATGCTCCTCGTCCACAGAGACATTGATCTCTAACTCACGAAGCAGTTCCGAGTCCAGCCAGAAAGACTGGTCACACAGGAAGTTCTCCAAGCATCGGGCAACAAAACCTGAACCACAAAAACAGACAAAACAGTGACATAAACTAAAATCTTACTGTCAACAGGACTTGTCTAACCATTGTTTAGTGCCGGACATCTAAATAAGCAATATTTTGTAAAAGCATATAAATAAAACTACATCCGAATATCTATCAGAAGAAGGTCTGAGTCCTACCTAATGAGAGGTAAGTTGAAAACTTCCAGATCTCCTCCACCGTCTTAAATGTGAGCACAAAGATGTCCTTCTCAGCATGAACAGAGACCAGACGAGCTGACAGGTCCTGAGGAAAGAAGCTTTCAGGTTTCAGCTTCCAATCATTCATACATGTGTCGATTATAAATTTGAATAATTCATGAGGTGATGTATCTCCATTTGCCTGTATACCCTGTATACACAGTACATCCTTTATCATGTGATTTCCAACGATTTTCACAGAACGAAGGGAAAGTGCAGTGAAACACAAGAAACACCATTTGGCCTCACTTTAAAGAGCTGAGTGATGTCTTTACTGTTGCTCTCCACCACTCGGAGTCGTGTGCGCAGCGCCTCCTGCAGGGACTGGTCTGAATTGTCACCGGAACGCCTCCGCCCAGTAAACCGGAGCACGATTTCTGTGTGAAAGATACGTAGAGCATGATCAAAAGCATTGATGGGAGAGAGGTTTTTTTCTGATTTTGTCTTTGAAGATAAAAAAAAAAAGAAAAACAATCTTGGAAAACAATACCATTTTCTACATTGGAAAGAGATTACACTTTTCAAGACTACATCATAGGTGCTTTGTGAAAGTTTTATATTATTTGCTTGGTGTGCGAAACAGCGGTCCCAGGAGTAATAACGAAACCATTAGGCCTCTTACTGGACTCCATTTAAACCCATTTCTCTTGACAAACCTGGGAGGATGTGATGGATGAAGCTGAATTGCTGACTGAGCAAACATTAGCTCAGCTCACGAATATGGTTCATCAGAATTTATTTCATTCATGAAAATTAAATCCACGGGAAGGAGCTTCATAGATGCACCATGATTACTAGCTGTTTTTTCCCAACAGATGAAGAGCTGGATTTGTGGTGAAGTGGAGAGCAACTCTACCTGAAGAGAATTTCTCCCCGACTGAAATTTTACTTCCTCGAAGGAAGGCCTCCTTCTTCTTCCAGTAGCTGTCATGTTCCTCTCCTTCTCCTGAGTCTCCAGTTGGACCTTCCTCTTCCTCACCTGTTCATACAAAAGACTAAAATATAAACCTTGTTTTTTTTTCTCTCTCTCTCTTTCTAGCTCAAGATGACATGGATAACACATGGAAGGAAAAACGTTCACTGTTTCATAAACGTCCTCAGATTTTGCGTAGGATGGAAATCTTTGTTGCATGTAAAAACAGATAACTCACTTGCGAGGACGGCTCTAACTCGGTTTTAATCACAATTCACGTGTCTGACTGCAGTTTGGACATTAAATTCAAAACATTTTCAAATGACACAGGATCATAATCACTGCATGATACTAAAAGCAGAATCTCTGGTTGGTGCTATAACAGACATACAACACCTAATGTCTTGCCATTTTCTCACTTCAGCTGATATTTCTTTATTCCAACAACCTTAATCTGTAATCTATTCATCCAATGCTTTTAACTTGTGTTTTTGCATGTTTCAAACATTTAGTGCTTTGGAAAACTCTTAATAATGTGGCATGTATTTATTGTGAACCTCCATGTGAAAACACTTTCCATCTACATCCATTTTTACTAAATAGTTCAACTATAGTTCAATACTTTACAAGACAGATCGAATGCAGGCTGGCACAATCTGATGTCGTTTATAGCCTCTAACACATTTTCTTCCAGCAATGCCCTCAATTTAATTCCAACCAAGTTCTCACCAACTCTGATTCTGCTAAAGAGAACAAGCCGTGTAGCATGACGCTGCCACCACCACCACGTGTTACGGTGTGAATAATGTGTGTAAGCTAATGTGCAACGTTAGCCTCGTCTGACCCACAACACCTTCATCGTTTCTGGCACGCTGAAAAGTGGGGTGGATAATCTCGCAAGGCAACGTCAATGTCTGCCGGACGGATGTGCACGTCATGGGATGCCGAAGCGTGTAATTTTTTTGCATTAAAGCGGTGACGAGCTTCCCATGGCTCGCTCCATTGTGCAGCAGAGAGGATATCCCAAAGACTTCCTCAGTTTGTGACCGGAGGTAAAGCAACGCTGCTCCTGCTCACATGAACCTCATAAGCGTGTTTCTCCGCCAAGCGAATAAAGGACTACACTCTAATCAACAAAGCTTTTCTGTCTTTGTTGCATCACTGCCATACCTTGAGTCATGATGTTATTGTCTGTAAAGTGTTCATGTGTTCCTCCAAGACTGTATGGTGGTTCCCTCCAAAGAGCATCCAGCTCAGCAGGGGAGATGTCTGCAAAACCAAATAAAACAAATTAAAAAAACATAATGGAATAAAAGTCAGTTCCTTCTATTGTTCATTTTAGGCGATGTACTCTTGAAATATTTCTTAAGGTTTTTAACATCTTACCAATCTCTTTAGATACTAGTTTGAGCATGTAAGGATTAAGGTTACTGCCCCCCCACACCCTCCCCGTCTTCATGTGTACAGTAAATATGAAGCCACAGCCAGAGTCACTTAGGTCAGTTTGTCTTAATGTGAAAAGGAAACAGCAACCCTGCTTTAAGCCAAATTAAGCAAAATCTGCTTATCAGCACTTCCAAAGCTCATTAACACACTGAATAGGAGTTTTAGCCTCGGAGTTAGAATAGTTTATGACAGAAAGCAGATTTAACACAACCTTCAGGGATTTTAGAATTATGTTATGTCCTTTATAGTAGGGATTTACAATAAGGTTGTGTGTATATTAAATGGGATATTGAAGTTAAATAAGGGAATTATTTTTGCAATTATGGCCAGCTCCTGGATATAGCTTCACTGAACAGACACCGAATCTGAACATGGATAAAATCTGAGTATTTCTCACAAAATTTCCTGGAAAAACAAAAGGGTTTCAGGATTGGGGAATGTGTTAAACAATGCTGGGGTTGGGGGTTTCAGCCAGTTAGTTTGAGGATTTGTCAGTAGGATACAGAGCACACACAGGCCTGGCTCACATACTTACACTGATAGGAAACCCTTCAGATGTCCCTGTGCTTGACTGCTCAGATACTTTCAGCTCAGAGTAATGTTTCACCAAATACATAATACAAAAACGTCTATTATTAATTTAATTTCTCTCTTTCAACATGCTTTGTCAGTGGAAATTAAAAAGAGAAAAAAGATGAACAATAGAACTTTATCATCCAGATGCAAAGCATTCACAAGACAATAGGGGAGCAAACACAATATGCAACATGACATTATGCCAAAGAGAACAACAGTCTATTCTTCCCATCAGAACGGAGTTAGCACAAACGCACGCAAAGTTATGCTGATGCAGTGCAGGATCACACCATGCCCTCTCCTTTTACCTTCTTGGCTAAGTGTGTTACCCATGCTGCACATTGACCTATGTCCCTGCCTATCTGAACGCAGCGGTCCGTGTCATGACAGCAGAGCACAGAGAGCGGGCCGGGGACCGACCTGTGAAGGAGGAGAGGCAGACTTTGATGAGCGGGCGACAACAGGACGAGTTGAGAAACGGTCTGCAGCAACAAGACGCCATCTGGCCCAAGAGCCGGCAGCTCCCAGAGATCAATGCCATCCCATCAGCTTCCCTCAGCCACTTTAATAACAACTCTATCTCTCTCCCCCCTCTCTTCCTTTCAATTGCCCAGCCTAGCTTCCCTTCCTATTTCTGTAATCCCTTTTCCTGCTCTGCTCACACTACCGGTAAGTGTAAGCAGGACCTGTCTCTACAGTCCTCCTCTCTTCTTCTTCTTCTTCTTCTTCTCTATCTGTCTGGGACTGCTCCTCTTTGCAATATTTCTCTCTCTTGCAGCCTCCATCTGCCCCCACCCACCATTCTCTCTCCCTCCCGCTCTCTCTCAGTCTCTCCCAGTAGCCGCCCAGAGAGTCAGTCGATCCACAAAGCACTCTTTGCAATTGGTATTGTGTGTGGGGGTAGGTCTTAGAGAAAGTTTCCTTATGATTCGCCCGTGTGCGAGAGTGAGAGAATGCACTGAAAGCGCGAGTCATAACAACAGCGTGTTTGTTGCTGAGGTGATGTACTGCTGACCCGCTGTAAGGCAATGCCTGAGAGGAACGGGCTGCAAGGTCAAGTGAAAGTGCAGGTGAGAGTCGCCTGGTGGCACAAACAGACGATTGGATACTCCACACAAAGGAACATCATGGAAGTTATGTCAGCTGTTGCACAGGCGCATCCGAGTAAATCAGAATACCAATGTAAGGTCAATATAGTCCAGTATTTCAGCTCACCAGGAAAAACTCACAAATTACTTCATTCCACACAGAGGGATCTATTTTATTTGTTAATTTTGATGATTAAGAAATTCATTATCTCAGGAAATGTGAATTTTACAAGAGAAACAAAAGGATGACTTTTCAATACTGAAATACTTGAATTGTTTTTCCAGAAATGGTTGATTATATGTAGAATAAAGAATAAAATATTATTTATTTTTTATAGTTTAACTATAGTTTTCAAAGTAGGCATTAATCCCTTTAGTAAATAAACACCATTTGATGAGCAATCCAAAATACAAATTAGAGAAATTGCTTTAAAAATTGGGTGAAGAGCTGAAGTATGAGGAGTTTGTCAAGAAAAGCTTGGAAAATGCAATTATAGTCAGAGAAACGGCATTCTTATGAGCCAGCGAAGATTGTTATAGTATCCCAAATTTCCGTGCATTTACACAAGTAGAGACCCTCCTTCATTCAGGTAACACTGACAATACAGGCAGTCCTAGTACATACAGCCAGTGGTTCACAACTCTATCAAAAGAGATTCCACATTGGAAAAGCAATCTGTCCTATGGTCTGAAAGTAACAGTGTGACCTCTCTAAATGTATTTAAGGAACTCTACGGATGAAATCTATGTCTGTGTTCAATACGGTGTCCTAGAAATGAATTAGGATATCATAACTTAATACACAATAAGTTGCACAGATGAGTTCTTTTTAAGCTTCTTATGACAACCATATTTACTTAGAAAATATGAGATTTTCTAAGTAACACCATGTGGACCCATATTTACAAAAGCAGTTGGCTGACAGTTTTTCTTTGTTGTGTTGTATCACATTAACAACAAAAAGGGGAGAAAAAACAACTGTTGTCCATTGTCATTTGCTTCAGATTGTACAGGACAGTTTTATCCACTGAAGACATTTCTGACAAAGCCAAATGTGAAGAGGGTGAGGATAAATAGGCTATAATGACTCATTTTATAGCTTTACATCACAGATAATGTTACCTTCAAAATATGAAGGTAACACTTCTTTTGAGTGCCACTCTCAGTTTTAATTGTGCAGCCATTGAAGATCTGTGGTGTTATACTTAAAAAAAACTCAGTATTATTCTTACAGTTCTAGCATCCAACTGCTTTCCTCGACAAGACCATTTATAAGAAACATCATCATAAGTTCGTCGAAAGGTGGAATCAAGTGTTTTAAAGAAAAGCAAATCATGACACGATGAATTCACGTCCAACTTCTTCTGCCTGCAATTCCAATTGCCTTTGTCGACAAGCAAACTTTAGGCAACATAGTGAGATCAAAAGACACACTAAACCTTAAAAGCTAAATAGTTAATGATTGAGTCAACATTTAACTGCAACACTAGCTAGTAATTCTCTGTTGCAGCTTTTGTGTCACATGACTGTTCCACACTTGCAAATAAACCTACAACACTGGTCCACTTCACTGTTGGTTATTCTCAAATGCACGTATCTGACCTGTTGGAGGAAGCAGGGACAAAACTCACACAGCTGTGGGGGAAAGAGCAGACTCCAGCTGAGATTAGAGCAGAAACTGTCTTGTCATTGTTTGCTTTGGTTTCCCCGCTATCTTTGGTGCCTGGTCCCAAGTGGACAAAGTGCAGCAGATTTCTAAATGGGTACTTATCAAAAAGTTCTAATTCTCCTTTTCTGTGCTTTTTTGGAACCCCAGTGAATTGAATAACCTGATCGTTTTGAATTTCATTTGAAGATGAGTGTATGGATTTTATTTGTTGGGCCTACACAAAATAGAGCATACGCTTAAAACAGAATAAAATAGCCTGTTTTTGTTTTCTTTCTTTTTTCACAAATAAGTAACTGCACTCAGTCTCCATTACTCTTATACTTGTAAATAAAATCCAGGACAATCAATTGTCCTCAGAAGTAACCTCATTAATAAACAGAGTCCATCTGCTAGTAGTTTAGTCTCAGTCTGAATACAGCTGCAGAGTGAGGGCCTCAGCAGGTTTTTTTAAAAGAACACAATGAACAAACAGCACCATGAATATCAAGGGTCACAGCAGACAGGGATAATGTCGCAGAAAAACTTAAAGTTAAGCTAGGGGACGAAACAGCCTTCCAAATAGATCTAAATTGATCTGCAGTAGCCAAGAGGCCCCTGGTAACTCTGAAGCATCTGAAGAATGCCGCAGGTCCACCAGAAAAATCTGTCAAAAGGATAACTAATAGTCGTGCAATCACCAGATCTGGTGTTTATTGTAAGATAGTGAAAATAAATCCCTTGTTGAGAGAAAGTCAAAAGAAGTTCCGTTTGTAGTGAGACACAAGTTATATAGGTGACACAGCAAACATTTGACGAGATCAAAATGTTACTTTGTCATCTACATGGAAAATGTGATATGGAGCAAAACAACTAACCCTACAAACACTCTGAACAAAAACCATGGTGAAACACGGTAGTTGTAGCATCATGCTATGAGGATGCTGCTTTGTTTGCAAGAATATGGTTGCTCCAGTGTAAAGCACTTTGAGTGGTCGGCATGATGCTACATTACTTACATAGAAATGGTATGAAAATGTATTTATGTTATGACAACGTTTAAAAAAAAAAAAAAAAAAAACCTCTGCAGGTTGCTCTATGTATGAAAACTGAAGGGAACCACTTCTCTGAATGTGATTTCCAGCAACTGAAGTGAAATGCAGACGGTTTGTTCCTCTTTTCGAGCCTCAGATCTTTGTTCACCCCGAGCACAAGGGGTTGATATCCTTGCCTGGGATCTGTGTTGTTATCTTGTTTATGTGGCGGGCTGAATGGTCACGGCTGAATCTGTGCATGGGTATCCAGTGAGGCAGAACACTGTAAACAGGCACCAGGCATGCCAAGGCATATCCTGACACTCTTCTGACTGGCCTGCTTGTTTTCTCTTGGGGAAGCGGATGGATAATCTAATAAACACAGACTTCTCAAGGTTGATATGGGCAAGTCACATGCACAGGACCTTTATGGGCAGGAGCCAATGGCTGCACAAGGGTAACTGATAAACTCTCTAAAACATGCTTTTAAAACAATAAAACCTGTTCCCTTCTGATGTTGTAAAAGTCACAATATCCTCTTTTTGAAAAAAAAAACAGTGGAACCATCTGCAAAGTCACAATCGTCTGCTCATCTTACAGATCCGTCAGGGTCACTAACGCGCGACGCTTCTTTTCATGAAAGGGGTTATAGTTTACCTATTTTAAACAATCATCCAGTCTTCACATGCTGAAAAGCTTGCACTGCAATTGTGACACGACAATCCTTATTCCTCAATGCAACCTAATGAGGAGCATATGGCGAACATACGGCTCTGTTCGGATGTTGCTTTCTGAGGTCGCTTCCTCTGAATGTGTGTGCAACATGTGGAGTTTGTGGCGGTGGAATACGTGCAAACAGAGAAAGCAGAGGGTAATATGAGAGAGGAGCCCGGGTCTCTAAGTTTAGACTAGACCCCCCACTCGCATGCCTGTGTGTGGCTAAGACAGAGCAACTCTGAAGGGAGATTCCCATAATGCTACACAGTGTTAAAATAAACTCTCAAAGCAAAACAGTGAATTTCTGAGGCTTTGTAGAGTTTTCTTCCTCATTTTTTTTATCTTGCAAAATCTGAATAGAAATGATTACTATAAAAGAAGCTAATCTTCTATTCTTTGATCTTCTTTATAGATAATATCAAGCCACCAGTAAAATAAATATTCAGGTAAAATCACGACCGTACACTCTTTTCTTGAAAAACAAAAAAGTTTACAGCTGGCAGGCTGTAAACTAACAGCATTATGGTCATGTAGCAAAGTACAAAGTGCAGCTGTGTTTACTCAAAAGGATCAAGTTTTGGTCACAAAGTGAATTTGGAGTTGAATGCAAAAAGAAAAAGAAAAAAAAAGCTGTCTTACCTCTGTGTTACTGCCAGCTCTCTCCAACTCAATTCATTCCTCTCATACTTTGCAGGATTTCTATAAATCTCCCTCTGTTTGAATCTCGCTTCTCTATACAGCCGCCATTACAGCGGCTGACTGTGCTGTCATTCCCCACTGTCAAAAGCACAGAAGAAAAAAGAACAGAAAGAATGTGTAAATCGGTAAGGGTGAGCTGCAGTCCTGCATATGTGTTCTGCTCCTTTCAAAAAGAGCGTGTCAGTGAGTGAGGAAGTTTTAGGCTGTAACTCCACCCACACATTTCTTTGGGACGCCGGAACAGCCCACATTTTCTTCCTTGCCCCCATTCCCTTTGCAGACACAAACACACACACACGCACGCACGCACACACACACACACACACACACACACACACACGCACACACACACACAAACACACACATAATTAGACTCCCCTCCAGCCACCTACAGCCCCCCAACACACACACACACGGCAAACATGAGCCACGAGTCATTGAAAAAAAGTAAGATTATAAAGCAGCTGAACTTTCATGCAGGCTTTATACAATGAAAGACTAAATGCTTAATAACCTGCAGCCTTCTTCCTCATTCTGTGCTCACCAGTGGTACCAGCTTGGTTTGATGCTGTCCATGACTATAATTACAGCAACAACCAGTCAGCTGGTACGCACCATTGTTGGAAAACCACCTGTCTAAGTTCCAAGAATATAATGCCTTTGCACTTACCTGTCTGTCAGGCTACACACACAAACACACCTACAGGTGGCATTCCACTAATTGCACTTTGATGCCAAGAACTGTGCTACAATTAGCTTGCATGGCTGTAGAAAAAATGCTGAGGGCAGAAAACAACAAGCTACCTCCTGTTACCGACTTTGTATAATAACTATCGTTCTCCATGAGGCAGGGTAATTATCCCCAGGCTGGATTTGCTTTGGGTTTTTTTTCTTTTTCATTTAAGATGCTTTGTTAAGTATGAACTCTGGAACTGACTGTACTCATAAAATGAACTGTTGAATAATCTGCATTTTATCAGAGCTTTTAATGAATATTTCTGGGCAGAACCTGAACGAACTTCAGTGACAGCAACAGCAAAGACATGGCGTTCATTAGCTGCTTCAGGGAAAGATGAACTTGCCCATGTAGTTTCTTTTTTAAAGCTGAATTTTTGCTTCAAGACAAAAACTTTCATACTAACCAAAAGTCTAATGACCATTCTTGACTTTTACAGTTTATGTAAAGTCATTCAAAATACAACCCATGCAAACACATCAGCCTTGCTGCTCTCTGCTGGACACAGTGATTTATGAATGAGAATAAGGATTCACTGAGTCGGCATTGGACTGCACTGTGGAACAGCTGAAACTTCACATCTAAGCCATCTAAACAAGTAGCATCTGTACAGGGAATTTGCATGTTCTTCCAATGTACTCCCGCTTATCGCTACAGTCTCTGCTAATCTGCTCCAAAGTATAACTTTGTGTGCTAAAGTGTCTTCATCCTTCGTGGACAGGTAATAGCGACCTGTCCATGGTGGATCTTGCCCCTTGCCCTCCTCTCAGCCTTGTACTACAAATATATTTCATATATATTCCTTTTTCCAGTGCATGTCCCTCCAGAATCCAGCATGTTAGAACAAAGTCACTCTGAATACATCAGCAATGAACTCCCCATGTGATCATGCAATTGGCTATGCAAGGCTGCAGGAATGGATCATTTATTCTTTCTCTCTTTCCATTTCTCTCTCTCTCTCTGTGAGTGTGGCCTTGTTTTTGATAAGGTATAAGGACCATTTTCCAAACAAATACTACATTGTGGGGACTAACTGCTCCTTATGGGACCCAAAGCCCAGACCCCATGAGAAGAAAAGCTGTTTTTAGGGTATGGGTTATGTTTAGTCCTAAGGTATGAATTGGTTTTGGGGTTAAGAATGTATTGGTAGTTAAGTTAAGTTTTAAGTCAATGCAAAGTCCTTGTGAAGATAGAAAGACATAGTATGTGTGGTGAGAAAGACAGATATGCAAGTATTTGATAGCAACCGATTAGAAAAAGAAATGGGTGGAGATTGTAGTGTGGCATTACACTGGGAATTGTATTTGTGTGTGTGCATGTCTGTGGATGAACAAAGCTTAGGGATTGTGAGACTTGATGAAGAATGTTGCTGATCAGGCCCAGTGATAGTGGACACATGGCCTTGGTGTGACTCACAAACAAAAATAACATTACCTCCAAAAGAAAAACAGCGGACGAGTGACTGGGTTAAAACAATGGAGCAATAGATGAGGAGGAGTGCCACAGAAACATGATCGTAGCTCTGTCATGTGATCAGTAGCACCGTTTCTGCTGATCATGCCTGTTTTATATCATTTGGCAAACTCGTGGACTAGCAGTAAGACAGCATCTCAAAATGTTTTGTTTTTTTTGTCAGCTGTGTACAACTGGCGCCTTTGCAGACAGTGACAACGTTGTGTTGACATGATGGCCTCTTACCCTTCTGCCTCCCGTGAACAGGAAGGCTAGCTTCCTGTTTTGCTGCCGCATCAGTTTGGTGGACAAAAGCACAAAGAGTGACAGACGCAGGAGCACAATTGCAAACTATTTAAGGGACTGCCAAACAATGAGTGTTGCTCATGCACACATTCAGCTGAACCTCATTTGAGTTATTCATTACCAATAATAAGCATTACAAGCCCTGACCAATGCCAAACCAGCAAACAATCAAGGTTACCTTAAAAGCAAGTATGGGGAGCAAGGATGTGCAACATTACACTTGAGAATCTAGCCAACAAACTTTGCATTAGAATAAAAAAAAGGTTAGAAAGATAGAAAGAGGACTTATGAAACTTCTGAGTCCAGATCCTGAAAAGGTAAGACTGCAGAGACGGTGAGCGCTGCGCTTCTCATGTCCCGCCACTGACCATCTTCCGAAAGGCCTCGGAACAGGGGCTTCCTCAGGACATGGAGAGAGAGCAACTCGGCTGTTTTATACAAAAATAAATAAAAAAAAACACAACAACACTGGCTTAAATTAGATTAGCTAAAACTAAAAAAGAAAATCTGGAATAGGTCTGTCATTTAGCATGTGTTCATCTTTTTTCATGTGGCAGACGGATATAAAGGTGAATTACAGCTGAGGGTATAATAATCCAGTCAATATCAAAGCTACTGCAACTCAGAAAGAAGACTACTCTTCAAGTTCTGTCAGAGGTCACAAGGGCTGAAATAGAGCCCTGGGATAGAGGAAAGTGCATTAAGAGATTCAGGGTAGGGAAGCACAGTGTAGGAGCTTGGGTAGAGATAATCTCTGATGAGCAGGGTCTTCACAAGTTTCTTATTTTGGTAGGTCATTCTACACCTATAAAGAGTCTGGACTGCAGTAAGCATGACATAGATACTGCTAGCTGACAATCCATCAATGACCGGAGTGATAGATTCCTGATATAAGCTGTCTGGGAGTAGAGGAGTGATGTTAACCACTTTGTTGACTAATAATAAGGATGTCCAATAACATTCAGTGAACAGAGGGGTGACGTTTGCTCTTTTGGGCATACTGAAGAACAAAGGCACAGCCTCAGTCTTAACTATCTGCAAAGGCTTCATAGCGTGGGAGATCAGGTAAGATGGCATTGTGACAAGCAATTTGCCAAAATTGAAATGCTAATTATCATCCTTCAAAAGGGTTTCTGCCATTAAATAAAGTATTTTACAGAAGAAAAAAAATGAGTTGTACCTTTTCAGATTTAAAATTAATATTAAAAAATTAAATTAAATTAAAACAGCCTTTAGTCAGACTTACTGTATATTGTTGTGCCGTAACTTCAGAGAACGGTTTCAGCCATCCAACCTTTAGCAGGACTTCAGCCGTAAACAATCCAATTAACCAATTTGCTTACACCTGTTTTCCAGGAGAGGGCGCTGTCACAACACTTTCAACAGTAAACTCTGCCGAAAAAACAACGGAAACGTGCCGGTGTTTTTAGAAATATCACTTCCTCTGTCCACTGGTCGTTTTCCTCGCAAGTCACTGTCTTCATTTTTTGAAAAGTGATTCGCATCACACTGAATAACTGACATTTCTGCTGACACCGCGATAATAACTCTGCCAACATCAGTCCAAGTCAGACGACCCATCACCAAACACTTCTTGCCGTGACTTTTAGGACAACATTTATGTTTTCCTTTTAATAAGCACAGAGTGACGTCGCTATGAGCAGAGATAAAAGTGAGAATAGTAAACCCAACGTCAGAGCCGGAGAGAAACCGGAAAGAGTGGGGTTCTTTTCACAATAAAAGTAGTTTCCTTTGTTTTCATGTGTTAATTGTGAACGGATAATTAAAGTTCCACAACTTTAGATAGATAGATAGATAGATAGATAGATAGATAGATAGATAGATAGATAGATAGATAGATAGATAGATAGATAGATAGATAGATAGATAGATAGATAGATAGATAGATAGATAGATAGATAGATAGATAGATAGATAGATAGATAGATAGTGTTGAAATAGAATTTTAAGTTAGCACAATACTGCACAGGATAGTTTTTGATACATATGAAATATAACATAGAAAGTTAAAGTACACTCTAATGCATAAATTTAGATAATACTAGAACAACGGCTCACTCTATGAACGCAGATAAAGATAAATCTTAAAAAGAGGAGTAGACAAAACACAGGCCTAGACTCCTTGGATCTCTTTAGATAGGGAGCCTGTCTGCCAGGCAATTAACAAATTCCTGAGCATGGTTCAAAAGTTCACTAGGATCTTAAAACTTTTTATAAATAATTTTATCTATATTAGAATTAACTATATTTCTTTAAGCATGTTTCGAATTAGTTACTTATTAGATCCAAACTTATAGTCATTATTTAGCATTACATTTTGTGCAAGCTTGGTTAAAAATACAAACTACTTTCTTGTGGAAACATTTTGAGGCAGAGATAGCGCTGCAGCTGCACTCATATATCAAACTGGACAGCGGCTGGTACGAGAAGAGCTGAAGGGTTTTCCATATATCTGCCTTTGGGGCTCTTTAGCAGGAGGTAATAAAATTAACATTAAGACAGCCCACACAAAGGAAAACACACCTCCTAATGCATATATTTAAATGAGGAGAATACGCATTCTATAAATGATTTGTTTTACAGCAGAAGTTCGAATCTCTTTGTGCTGAGTGAGAGTTTCCCGGAGGATGCATTTGCTGTTAATTTTTTGTCTTTTTACTCAGTTCTTTGTCTCTGTTTTGTAATGTCTTGGACTTTTTGATAATCTAGGTGAGATGCTTGTTGTAACATTCTGAACTGCATTGAATTTCTCTGGATAAAACTCTGAATATCTGAAGTCTGACGTCGTATGATTGCTCTTTTCTCTCTGCACACTTACACAGACACAGGAATTCGGGACAAAGAATTAATTAACAAGCTAAATCAAGTTATTCCTCTTTTTAATTCTTAACAATAGATAGATAGATAGATAGATAGATAGATAGATAGATAGATAGATAGATAGATAGATAGATAGATAGATAGATAGATAGATAGATAGATAGATAGATAGATAGATAGATAGATAGATAGATAGATAGATAGATAGATAGATAGATAGATAGATAGATAGATAGTCTATCTATAGTTGACGCTCTCTTTTAAACCCCTCCCATCTCTTTCGCTCTCTGTCTTCCTGTCAATCACACCCAATCTTAAGCTACTACTCCCTTATTTTGAAAGGTCAGTGCGCAGACAGTATCCGGACCCAGCACTGACAGCGCTGGAGAGGCGCACGCACCGGGACATGCCGGAGGAGCGCGGCGGAGCCGGAGGAGGAGGGAGGGAGGGACGGGGCTGCATCGGGCGAGAGTAAAAATGTGAAGGTGGAATCCAAGTGAGCAGCGTCGTCTTCTGGTTTGTACAGTCTGTCTGACTGGAGGGAAAATAATTATTATTATTTAAAAAAACAACAACAACACACACACAGGAGACCCTGGCACAGCAGGAGCGGGAGCTTTATTTGGATCCTACAGCTGATTACGGGAATAATCCTCGCTAAGAATTCTTTGTTTATATTTGCGTGTCCCTCTTTCTGCCAGCGTCTGCACCTTCACATGTAATTGACTGGAAGGAGCGGTGCCGAGAGGGAGGATCGCAACCCGCGATCGCGGGATATTGTTTCATGAACTGCACAATGTGAGCATCTCCTCGTGCTTTATGGGATTATTTTTGGCCGAAGCAGCTTTGTTTTGGATACGGACGCGTTGGGCATCATGAGTTCCAGCGGTAAGTCCATTCTTGCGCGCCTTATCTCTCCTGCTCGGAGTGCAAGGACAATGTAAACAATGACAAAACAAAACATCCTATTTGTAGTTAGTGGATGACGGATAATTAACATCTTTGTTTTATTTTTTGTATTCATCGCAAAATGTAGCATTTTTGTTATTTAAAGACTATATAAAATAGTTTCTTTTGCAAACATTTACACAGAAAAAAAAAGAGAAAGGTATCATCACTATGCATCTTTAAAGCAAACTCGGAAAAGGTTAAACATGGGACTTGAAATACATCCAGGGGTCAGAGTTCACCCAGAAGCATTTGAACAATTCTTCACTCACATAACAGAAGCTTGGACGCTCTCTGTGTCCAAGCTTCACCTCCTTTCTCTTTCACCTCCTTCTGGGAGACCACTTTCAGCTCGTTCACACTGTCCCAGCAGGATCAGCACACCTTGTAACTTATGGGAGGTTCACTGACCTGACCTCCCCGCAGCGTATGACAAATAGCCCTTACAACCTCAGGGGCCACTGACATCCTTACCCTAGAATGGCCCCAGGGACAGCTCTGATGCTGAGCTGACCTTGGATCAGCTGACTCTGACCCTGATCCCCTGTCCGCTGAATCAGGGCTTTCCCTGTATAGCTTGTGGTGAGCGTGTGAGCACGTTTTCTGCATGCTTCCATTTTTGGTCTGTGCACAATTCACTGAGTTGATGCACAGGTGAGGTGGGCAAGTGTTTCATTGTTTAGGGCTGGGAGAGGTGAATGTGCCATCAGAGAACTGATGGTGATAGCTTCCTATCCAGCCACTGGTCTCACTGCATCATTCATAATCTAGCTTGTCATTCTGTGGCACTACATTATTTATCTGGCGCTCTAAACTCGGCTGAGCCCTGCCTGAATTGCAGGGAGTGTTGCCTTGATTCCCAGGAAGGGTGTCGCTTCTTCTCACTCTTGGAAAAATGAGAATAATTCTTTTGTTAAGAGCTTTGAGTGTATTTTTTTTCCTCCCCTTCATGTGACACATGGAGGAGGAGCAGCACCTGCAGGCAACATGTGGGGAGCTGTCACCCGAGTCCTTGTGTTTTGCACACAAGATTACCCAGCATGCATTGTCACAGCCGGCAGAGAGTTGGTGGAACATGTGTCTGTTCCCGGGCTTAAAGCTGGGGAACAGACACGAGAACTTGTTTTGTTTTGTGTCACTGCTCTCCCTTTGGTGTCAGTCAAACATATGTTGCTGTCTGCCTCCAGTGCTTTTAAGGCTTGGACGCGACGGGGCCAGTAGGGGTGCGCTGGGTACACTGCTTTCTCTTCCACTAGATCCGATCAGCCAATGGCCATCGACGCTCTCGGAGCAGTTGCACATCACCACAACCTCGTTTGCTTAATTCAGGTGTATTTATGTCATTCTGCAGAAACTTCACATGGTCAGGTGTGGAAAAAAGTATTAATCTGTGCAACAGATTAAGATCTTTCTTTTTGGCACACTCTGTTTCTGCACTGGGGAGTGATAAAGCACAAGTAGATCAATATACAGATCATTGAGATCAGGGAGCCAGGGGCTTTTTGCAGCACCATTTATCACAGGCAGCACTGACACGTCTCTCCCTCCCTCAGTTTGATGTTGGGAGCAAAATTTTTCAATGTAAGACAAAACACATATCTAAAAGCAATTAAGATTTTGAGTGTATTACGTCTGTACATTCCCGATCTCTGCGTCACTGGAAAGTGGCACATCATGCCACTTTGCCATCACAAACAATGGCCTTAATTAAAAAAAAAAAAAAAAAGATTAAAAAAAAAAAACATCATCCCTTGACATGTTCTAAGAGTGAAGGGCATGTCAAGTACATCAAATGCACCAGCTTACAGGATGGTGTCTTACAAAACTCAGCTTTTATGGGTTTTGTAAAAGGTAAATGTTTTGGTGAATTTCGCTTTGATGTCCAGAGAGATTTGTCATTACTTATATTTTGTTCTTAATATACATCTACTCAAAATCATGTGCATGTTGCAAAAAAAAAAGAAAAAAGAAAAATAAAGAAATCTATCAAAAAAAAATAAATAAATGAATTGTTTCTTCTTAGAAGAAGAAACCGATACTCACCTGGATTGATGCATCTCTACTTTGACACCTGTGGCAGTAAAATAAATCATACAGCATAGGTTAGGGTGGGTGTGGAGAAGCATCAAGCAGCTGTCAGAGCCTGACAATAGAACAGAACCAGAACAGCCAAAGGAAACATCTCATCATTTCTTTTCTGGTTTGGTGATGTGAGTTGCTTCAGTTGCAGCTTGGATTAGTCATCGCAGAAATGCTTTACAAGCATTTGTTGTTGTTTTGTTTTGTTTTTTTTTGCCGTAGAGAGATTTGTTGCATAATAACTAAAACTTTCCAACTAACCACTTGAAGGATCAGTCATGTTTGATTTTGAGGAAATTCATTCATTAGCAAATACCATGTCTGTTTAGTCACCACTAGTTGTAAAAACATTAGACATTGTAATGCTGGGTGGGCTTTGTGTGGTGCTCAGTATGACTTAAGCATCTAATCATCCACAAACTAGACCTTGCTGCCCTCCAATATTAATAGTTTCCAAAACTAATTTTTAAAAGGGCGCGACAGTGTTGTACATCTTCAAAATTCTCATGTGCAGCACTCTGTGACTCAAGCAGAACTTATCTGAATGCTTCCACAGTGCAAAATTTTGGATTTCTTTCATGCCAAATCACAAATGAGTCTTTGTAAAGTTGCAGGAGAGGGGCGAGAAGGCACTGTTACTTATCACACTGATGGGTCTTTGCGACGTGATGCTGAATTCCAGAACAACAAATACCTTCAGGATTATGTTTTAGGCATTATCATTTCAAAAACACTTTTGTGTTTTTATGAATTCATAGCAATAAAACCAATGAGTCAGCGCTACAAAAATGCTGTAATTCTAAACAAAGTGTATAGGACAGGCAACGCTGCAAGCACACACTTAGGGCAAGTTAGAGAGACCCATGAAACCAACACTTGTTTCTGAACTAAGTGCCCAGAGAGAACTCAACCTCAGGCAGATGCTATTGCACATTCATTACTTTACGTGTAGCACAGCCGATGTGGGCCAAGCACATCTGAGTAGCATATTTGTCGTTCAAGGACGTACATAAATAGCACACTGACAGACGGGGTGTACAAATGTAAACCTACATAAGACCTGCGATATTAAATGATGGATTGTTTCTGAGCAGTGGGGAATCATTTGGAAACTCGGGTAGATGGAAGCGAGAGCTATACCATTTATGATTGCTGAGCTGCTTCCTCATCTGGTGCACAGTCCAAACCAGAGCCAAATACATTTCATCACTGCACAATTCCAGGTGCCTTAGTTCAATAACACAGGGAACAAAGGCGGGAGCTTCGACTGCACAGATGCAAACCGCAGATGCTGGGAGGCAACCGCTGAATATTCATTAAACAGTTGCACGCAACCGATGCAAAATCACACGGATGGTTTTGTGGATTATTAACAGCTACTGTCAAAGGGGTTTGACTTTTGTGCACGAGTCAAAGGAAAATGTCAGACATAAACAAAAGGGTTCAGCATAATCAATTTGTTCTTAAAGTAATAGAACAGATTTGATGGCGCACTAAATTCAGTTCAGTGTTCAACCACAGCTGTCCTGCTTTTTCTGACCTTGACTTTCTGGCAGGACTAAGAAATCATTAAGACTGTGGGTAGCAGTTCGACCTTTATTCCTTTGCTCAGTGGAGTATCGGCATGTTTGTGTTACCACTGGACACCAGCGTCGCTTGGATGGCTGCCTCAACACAAGGTCCTGATGGAGATAAAGACAGATAAGGAGAGGGAGACAGAGGGGCCCTGATCAATGACTACATTAAATTACTGACAGGGAAGATGGATGGGCGTACTGCTCGGATGTTTTCTGAAGAGTGGCAGCGATTTCAGAGGAAATTATTGCTCCTTTGACAGAAAAATAAGTTTTCAGTTTGTCAGACATTGATTGTTGTGATTTTTAACTCGTATTTTATGGATTTTTTTTTGTGTGTGAATAAGGGCTTTTACATAGAAATCTAAAACACATAAAAGCTGTGATGTCTTAGTGCTTTTAATTCTCTCATTTAATACACTAAAGCCTTTCAGCTGCTCTGCTTTTGATAAAAAGAAAAAAAAAGCAGGTATTACTTTGAGAATTATTATGCTACTCACAGCTGGCTGGCTTTCATTTCAATAGTGTTAATAGTCGGACTACAATCCCATTTTCATCAAATTTGTAGAGGAATTTTATATTTTTGCAGAACAGTTCTAAAGTTATTTCTTTGGCCTTGAGTTGAATAATTCTTGACTGCATATTGCAGCACTGCACTTCACAATGGAGTTTTGTGACTCCGTTCCATAATAACTGATTGGTACTATTAAACATCTTGCATGTCTGTTAACTAGTATAATTGAGAAGATATAATTTACAAACCTACCTTAGGCAAACAGCACAGGCAGAGTCTTGCTCATGAAGATTGCATGTTAATATTGAAATATATTAAGTGACATTTACTTTTTTTGAGTGTTGCATCATGTTATAATGTAATTCACTTATCAAAAGTGTACCTGGGGAGTTGTTGTTTTGATTCATTCATTCATGTTTGGAGAGTTTCTTGCTGATACGAAGCTCGTCCTTGGAGCTGCAGTCTTCAGTTGAGTTCTCAAAGAGCCTCACAGGGCACCCCTCCTCTGCACCTTCCCCAGTAGCAGCAGCGGCATTTAGTGAACACCTGGTGAAACTGCTGAGCTTACCGTGAAAAGTGCTTCTCAGTCCAAAGCTCCTAAAAACAGGAAACTGCATTATGAAGAAGCATTGCGATGAAGTGCCAATTTCAAAGCATCAAATTGCAAAGTCAAATTTCTTATTTGATAGATACGGCATTTTTATGCCAACTGTGAAGGTGACATGGTCACTTGAGTGTGCTACAAAATTGCACTATGTGTGGGGAAAATACATATTACTTCTTCTTTAAAAGTACAACAGTGTATTTTTCTACTGTTGTCATCCATTGTGACTGAACAGCAGGTCAGAGGAAGAAATCACGGTGACCTCTCCCTACACAGCGCTGTTATCTTGTGGATCCTGGAGGCTGTAATCTGTGCTGATGGGGAGTCAGTGGATCACACCTTGGCGTCGAACTGGTTATCATTGGAAGCATGACTCAACTGGTTGACATTGGATGGAGGAATTTTTTTAAATAAAATTCTTTTGACATGACAGAGATTTGTCTCAGTGAATGAAAATGGACACACTGTCATGGTTAGTTATGCAACACCTCAGCTCATGAGCTGATTGCGTATTGTCCAGTTTTGGTGAAGTGTCCAGTGTGGCCTCAACATCCTGTTTTTGGTGAGTTGACAGAAGACATTTTGATGTTCTGCTGCTGTAGCCATTGTGCTTCAAAGTGTTGTGTGTTCATTTTGAATTTTGCACTTTTTGGTTGTGAGTGGAGTTTCTTCTCCTGGGTATGGTTGCCTTTTTATTATCTCAAACCAGTCCACACTTTCTCTTTGAACTCTGACACCAGTAAGGCATTTTCATCCACACAAATGTCACTGTCTAGATATTTTCTCTTTCTTTGGACCATTCTCTGTCAACCTGTGAAGTGATTGTGTGTGAAGATCCTTGCATATTAGAAGCTCCTAAAATGCTCAAACCAATCCATGTGCCACATTCAAAGTCACCTAGCTTGATTTGAGCCTTTGCAGGTTTTGTTCACCAAGAGTAGATGCTTAAATGCTTTAAGCTGCTGGTTCTTTTACTTTTTGTGCAACAAGTATTTGAATGGTTGTGTATAATATGGAGGACAATGAGGTTTGATGTGTTAAACGATTGTGGAAACAGCAAAGTCATTGTCAATTTATTTTTCAAAAAAAGAACAGATCATGTCATTAATTTTTGTTATATTATCTATGTTAATATCATAAAATCAAGCTAAATTAACTATTTATATTTTATCTTCTATCTGAAGTTGGCTGGTATAGGAAGCATAAGGTGTTACTGTGTGCTAGGAGTTTGTTTTGGCCACGTTTCAGAAGGTCAGCAGGGTAAATAATTGCCATCGTGTTTTTTCAGGGGATGATATCAGGCCGGCTTATACTTCCATTAGCCCACATTATCTCACATGCACACCTGATGGAATCATGGTTGTGCATTTGGTTTCACAAAAAAAACACTTCCTCGAAACTTTCACTTGAACTGGCGGCTTGGCACTGATCAGGCCAGTTTGTTTTTCCCAGAGGTCCCAGCAGCATTGTGAGAAAAACAATGAACTTTCAGAGAGTCAGCTTGGGAGATGTGGTATGGATTGCAATTGTTGTTACTTATTTCTCGCAGTCACGCTCTTTTCCTGGTTGGGAAAATAAACAACTATGGCTATTGTATCGATTTATGCCCTTAGGCATAGTCTGTGAAAATATTTATTGCTTTTTTTTTTTTTTTCGAAAAGCATAATGTGCATCTGTTTTTTTCAGACTTTCTGATTCTACAAAAATAGCATAAATGCTTGTAAAAACAAACAAACAAAATTTAGTTTTTATGTGTATTTTAACGTTTCAAGGCAAAATCAGTTCTCTTTCTAATCATCACCTGCTTTGTCTTGCTAAAAACCTAAACACCAAAAACACCATGGTGCTTACGTCCTTCCACACACACAGAAAAAGTGGAATCCAGAAACTTTCATGGCAAGTACCGAGTTGAGATTAAATGCAATATAAATACACCAAATATGATAGCCTGCCTTTTTATGTGAGAAATTTGAAGCTGAATCTTACCAGGAAATATCCAAAAGGAAGTCGAGAGAGTTAGGTTTGCAACAATGCAAATGACCTGAAGGCCACTATCAAAGCAACACGGGCTTCCATTACACCTCAGCATTGCTGCACCGACACAGTAATTCATGCAAAACAAAACCCCAAAAAGTATTGGGTGCATACAAATCAACATACACTTTGCATTCTGACATTTATATTTAAATTATACTTTCACTTATGTAATATTGAAAATTTTTTGAGACATTGAATTATGTTTTTATTATCTGTAAATCATCATCAAATCATTCACACAGCTCCAAAGTTACTTTGAGGTTTTTTTTTTTTTTTTTTTTTTTTTTTTTTGCATTCTAGTGCCAAAGAGAAAAGTCAAACAAACTTTGCAAGAGTTTATATATATGAAAAAGACTCAACTGTGGGAGATGTGGTGTGTTTTGCGATTGTTGCTGCTGTAAATCGTGTTGAACAACACTGAGAAACAGCCTTTATCAAAACCACAGAATTTGGCAGCCTGGGTAGAAAACAAATTTAAGCACAGATACTTCTATACAACTCAACCAATGCAAGTAGTGCATCAGCTTTGACATTTTAAGTGGTGCAAGGCCTTCGGGATTAAGTCTCGACCAGCAGTCAGCTACTCTGTTGTGTCAGCCCACATCCTCGTCCCTCTCTAGCGGAGAAAGAAAAGCCGTTCGCCGAGATGACCATCCCAGCCTGTTACTCCGGCATCCCTCCTTTTCATTAATCTCAGTATGGAAGAATGATAAAGAAGAGGCAGGCGTTTTGACACATTGTCAATAGTGTAATCTTTTCGGCTGCTGTAAAATATGTTAATAGCTCACATCCCCGGGCCAACCTAATCTAATAACCAATAAATGCCGAACATCATTATGAGCACTTGTTGAGACTAATTTAAAAATGGTTTGATATTTGTATTATGAAGGAACTTCGCTTTGTGGAAATCTTTTGTGTGAAGTAGCTATCGGGCTCGAAGGAGTCACACATGTAAGCTGAAGCAGAACGAAGTGAGGAGATCGATGCGATCAGTCGAGTGGTGGTGAAGCATGAGTGTGTGAAAAATAGAGGTAGGGAGAGAAAGACAGCCTGGAAGTAGCCCAGCGTATAGTTGTCAGACCTCACAGTTTTGGAACTCGTGATGACAGGTCTGCAGACGGCGCTTATTGTGGAAGCTCCATGCAGCGCCGCAGTCGGGACACAGCCATGGAGGTAGTGATCCTAACATTTTCAAGCGATTTAAACCTTTTTGTAGTTTGACCTAATAAATATTATTTACCTGGTTGACATGTGAAGGTGTAAGGATAACCGAGTTTGAAATGTTTTGAGAAAAACAAATCCCAGGATGTTAGAATACAATGTAGAACCAGACTCCCTTGCCATTCCACTAATGTGCTTTAATGGAAACTCTTGTAGTTCTGACTTATGGTACGTTCACAACAATCAGGTGCTTCTGGTTTACATTCAAAGTATTTGGAGGCGCATCTCGAGCGTCTAGCGTGCGAGATTTTGAAACGTTTGAAGCATTTTAAGCGTCAGACGCACCGTATAGACGCTGAATGTAAAACAAACGGGCCTGAAGCTCAAAACGCTTTGGTGTGAACACAGTAAAAGTGCACATCTTGAAGCGTCACACACGTTTTTGACATGTGTAACGTGTTTGGTGTGAACGCACCGTTAGGGTTGTTTTCCTTGGAAGATGTTGGAAGATGAACCTCAACCCCAGTAAAAAAGTTCTTTGATGCCTCTAACAGGTTATGTTTTCCAAGTCTCTTCCTGTATTAATTTTTCCAAAAATTTTGAAAATTTTCTGTGTCCCAGCAGAAGCAAATCATACCCACAGCATGAGTTTGCCACCACCATGTTTTAACTGTAGGATGTCGTGTGAAATTAGTTTACCTTTATTCATTAAGTTCTCATAAACTATAAGGTTTTCACAGAATAGCTGTTATACATTAATTGCTTACTGTTGGATTCTATTCATTACATGATTTCTAAATGATAATTTTGTGCATAACTTTCACTCGACTGCTGGCCTCGGTTGCATGTAGATGACCGATCACGCTTTTTCAAAGCTTGTACTTTGCCACAAGATGACACTTCTTTGCAAGTTTAGGGTGCCATGAAATAGAATTATGATAAAAAAACTTTCAATGCAGTGTATCAAACAGTTTGATCTTTCAGATGGTACATTTAGGATGTTTTTTATGTTCCGCAGCTCATCAGCAAGTCTCAACGCGCAGCGAGCGGAGCTCTGAGCCAATCCGGTGTCAGCGGTGTCGAGAAGTATGCAAAGGGGAAGTGGTTCGCGTCCAAGACACTCACTTTCATGTCAAGTGCTTCACCTGCACCGGTAAGAAATTGGATTCCTTAAAGATGACAACACCACACAAAAATTATGAAAGCAGAAAAAAAAAATCTGTAGTGTTCAATGTAAGAAAATATGTCATAGCATGCCCTTGCTTAGATGGTAATGGCCATAGGTATTACCTTACCTTTTGTTAGAATGCCATTTTCTTTTTATGGTCAGAGATGACATGTTTTTCTTAGCCACATCTAATGCACACATGATACGCCCTCCATCTCGTGGTGCACATGCTGAGTGCTGCTATTAGCCCTCAGTAGGGACTGAAATGTATCAGAGGGATCTTGCGGCACACATGGGATCCTGGTAAGGTAGCTTGTTATTGTCCTGGCAACCGAGAGAGGATTTACCTTTGCTTGTTCACGCTGGCTTAGTGCCACTGATGTAATTGGCTTTTCAGTGCTGCTGTATGTTCAGGTGCAGGTGACCTAGAGTGGATACAGTAGTGACATAACTAAATATCCTGTTACAATAAGACGACTCCTGCCCACTGTATTATGAAGCTTATTTACTCGCCACTTTGCATCTATATTTAGAGTTTAGGAAAATCACTTAGATGTAACTTTACTGTCTTTGGAAATATTTTCTAGACAAGAATCCATAGTAGATGCTAGCAGTATATTTAATGTTGAGAAAAAAAATATTTCATCATGTAGTTGGATGTGGCCATCATCTCTGTTTAAAGGATTACTGACGGGCAATATAGTGTACAGACTTCATAATCTGCACTCTTTTGGTTGAATGCAGTATTTATTTCCACTTTGGGTTTATGATTAGTTTTTACTAAGAAAGAAATAGCGAGGGGGAGGGAAGTAGATCAGTTATTTGCTAAAATTTGGAAAACGTAAAATATAGATGTGTTATAGAATAAGGGAATAAGGTGCGTTTTGGTTCAGCTTAAAAATGAAAAAAAAAACAAACATGAAATAAATTTGTGGTACAACCTTTTATCGCAATAGTTTTATAACGCGTTTCGCAAATTACCTCATTTTGTTTGACATCCTTCATATAAAATCCAAACCAGTGGCAAAATAATTATTGCGGTTTATCTCTTTGGAACTAGACTAGTTCTTCTGATTCCTCTTCAGTTACCGTCTCATTCACGGTAACTGAATGAAACGGTAACACTGTTGTTTCCTGCAGAGCATGACTGGAAGAAAATGTTCAGGTTGGGAGGGGGAATGGACCAGTGATCCATTCATAGGGTGTCGGTTAAATCATACTCGCACTGAATTTGATGCTGAGCGTTTATTATTTGAACAATAATTTATACTCGATGGTTGCGATAAGTCATTTTAACTATCGTGAATTGAAACTATCATGATACATCGAGTATACTCGATACATCGTCTAGCCCTACCTCAGTGACAATTCTCTCACACAGTGGTGTGATACTTCCTCTACTCTCCCTATAAGTCATTTATTAATCACCCACGACTGACAAGTTGGAAAGAAATGTATATTTTGAATATTTTCAAATCTTCAGCCAGTGAGAATTTGATTTGTCTCAAATTATTACCATGAGTGTCAAAGGCTTATGTGAACAGCTAAAGCATTGTAACTATAAATGCTTTTGCAATTAATTAGCTATGTAGCTGAAGAGAAATGCCTTTTATAGATTTTGTAAGTAGCAGCATACATGAATCAAAGTATGTATTGTATTTCAAAAAGGTTGTAATGTGAAACAAATTGGCAGCATATGACTAGATAGTCTTTCCTATGGTGGAAATAAGCAAACTAAGCAGTTTCACAGGCATTTGTAGGTAGAAAAAATAAATTATCAATGCCTGGAATTTACCATTTTGTCTTTATCTCTTAGGATTTCTTAGTTTTTTAAATAAATGCTGATGGGGACATTTCACAGTGGCGCATTTCCCCCATCAGCCTTTAAAAGCATGACAGTAAGAATGTTTATTTTGTGTAAGATACAGTAACAGCATTGTCTCACCCTCACATGTTCCGAGGTTCATAAACTCACAAAGGGTTATTCACTCAGAGCCTGTTGTCTGTTTCTTTCACACACAGGCATGCACACGCCCACACACACAAAGTTAAGCTCCCAGTGCAAACGCACACATTTGGTATGTAAGTGTCCATGTTCATGTACATGTGGGCTCTCTGTGGTTGTGAGATGTTGCTGTGGTAAACATTTGAAGGGGCACCTGGCCCTGGTTGGTGAATATTCTCAGCATCTCTAAGGTGCTATTAACCAATCGGGAAAATTTGTGTCCCAGAAAAAAAGGGGGTACGCCGAAAGGGAGCAGGAAAAAAGAATAATAATGGTGCAGGGTGGGGGGCGTTGTTTTGTCGCTTAGACATTTTGTCACCGGTGTACTTCAATACTAAACTGAATCCTATATGTGGTTTTTCATTTTTATAGTAGCTGTACTGCCACTAAAAACTGTGACTAGGTATTTTGAGTCTGCACATGGTCGGAGAGTTCCCTGCTCATGTTCCAGAGGCAGTGATCGGTGCTGCTGAGCAGACAGAATGTTCCACATCCTTTCCCATAATTTGCCCTCTGGCATGGGCTTCTGCTCGGACAGCATGTTTCTATGGCTTTCATTGTAAAACGTGGGAAACCTCGTCACATGCAAACATGTTGCATGTTTCTTTGAACCTAGAAAACCCTGCCTTACGAAAGAATCCCATAAAATTCACATGTGGTTCACATGTTCCGCATGTGGTAAAGTATTTTATCCCAACATGGTATCACATGTGATCACATATTTCTCATGTGCACCACATATTTTTTTTTTCCATGTAAAGACTGGTGATTATATTGAATATGTAATAAAATGGTCTCTTTGTGGAAAAAACTTGTGTGATTATCATGGTTTCACATGTGTATCACATGTGCCTTAGTTTATGTGCCTCTTCCAACTTTAAGACGAAGCAACACTTATATTATTAATCTGGTAATAGAAATATGTGTTAATAATGTGAAGTATATAGTTAACTAAAAAAGTAACCAACTGGTGTGAAATAAAAGTTTAAAATGTTTTTTAAAGTAAAATAATACAAAATAAAAGGTTTAAAGGTCTGCTAAGTCCCATGTGATGCACATGTGAATAAATGGGAATCACGTGATTTTACCACAAAACGTTCCAAGCTCACACATATACATGTGCTTTCACATCTTTCACACATCATTCACATGTAAAAGTTGTGTGAACCACGTGTGTGGTTTTCATGTGTAACATGGTGTTTTTATGGGATTTGTTTATGTCTCTTCCCTAATATGGCAATTCTGTTTCTCTGTTGCTGTTTTTCAAAACATTTTTTTCTTGTTTTTTTTTGTTGTTGTTGTTTTTTTTTTATCTTTGTTGTTGCTAGAGATTTGATTTTAAATGTATCAAAGGTATGTGGTTAATTATTGATCTGTAGTTTTGGTACATCACTGACCTGCTGTTATCAATTATGTTCAATTGTTATAGAATATGAGATAGAAAAACAGCACTCATGTTATTATTTTTCTATATATTTTGCCATATGTTCAGAGGAGAGGGGATGTCACACTGTGTATGTGTGTGACAGAGAGAGAGAGCAGTCACTTAAAAAGACAAAAACAAAACAAAACAGGGTTTTATTATTATTTTAAAACATACTCCAAAATTGTTCTGGAGTTGACTTTTAAAACCATCTTGAGCAAATAATTTAAAACCAGGTGTCATAACATATTATGTTCCATTCTTCACACATTTCTGTTCTCATTTTTTCCAGAAAACAATTTCCACTATGCCTTCTTGGAAAGAAAAAAGAAAAAAACTTTTGCTATTATTAAACTGACAAATACTGTCTAAGGATGTTTTCAACCCACATTCTCAATATGTAAACGCACAAACAACCATGCCATTGATCACTATCCTGCCTCTATGAAGCTATTTTCCTGTCTGTCAGCCACATTATCGTAATTCCTCTGTCATGCATTAGTCATTGCAGTAGCCTCTCACCAATCATGTGCGTTTAACCTCTCATTCAAACTCATTATCCTGTAGCTTATTATAGTACAGGAAGGCGGTCGACAAGCCAATCAGCTCAAGAAAGTAAGTCTGGCAGGACAGAAGCCAACTCACAGACTGATGCATCAGCTCCAGACAAAGGGAAGGCAGTGGGGGTGTAGATGGGGATAATGTAGATCCCATAACTCTACTGAGTGTAGCAGCAGGCTCTGGAGTATGGATGGTGTGGTGTTGTATTACAAGCGTGTTGGCTCACTCGTGCATAGTGCTCCAATGACATAGTGACCACATTTTACCGAACCTTCAAAGCATAATTGGCACTTTTGGATTCCAGCAAACACAGCGGGTTCTGTTTTTGGCCATGAGCACAAAGCTTAATCACACATCGCACTGCAAAGAGTAAAATAGGTGTATGTTTCCGCTGTGGTCTACTCGCTGAAAACACAAATGGAGAAAATAGAAGGAGGCAAGAGACACGGAAGAAAACCAATTTGCACATAAACTAGGAAGATGCTCCCTTTAGCTGTTTGTTGTTAAAGGCAAAATAAAAATAGATTTATTTTATGAAACAGTAGTCCTGTAGAGAATAGTAAATTTGCATACAGGTTGGAAAAATGCTCCGTTTATCGCAAATATTCTCACAAGCGTGGGGATAAAACCCATTTTTTAACTCTTTCTGTGCAGACTGGTTTGAGTCAGTCGAATGCTTTAGCTTCCACCTTTTGCTCTGTTTATTTTGCTGACATTAACCTGCTATGATTGTGCTCTTGAGAAAGAAAAAACACATTGGAGTGACAAAACTAGAGTAGAAAAAAAGCAAAACTAAAGAAAGAGAAGCAGACAGAGAGGCACAGGAGACATGGGGGGTTACTGGGAAGGGGAGCTTCCTGTAGCTATAGCAACCGCTGGTACACTGGTCCAATCACCACACCAAAGTGCGGTTGCTAGGCAGAGGGAAAAGGGAGCGCGACTGGAAGCATCTCTCCTGACTCCCATGGCTTCAGCTGAGATGACAGGGACGATTTC